GAATATTTACTATTTGTAAGTAAACTTTAGGAAGTATTTGAGAGTACAGCTAATTAATATCGGCCAACCTACTCAGTATAAGGCATTTGGTAATTAGACTAAACATCTAAAATTGAAGGTTGCCAAGGCCATTTGCTCTCATTCATAGGTATTGTTTATAGTGTTGCTTAGATAATCTTAGATATGTTCCTTTATTAGTATTACAGTATATTGCTACTGTATTTTAGTTATTATCGTTTTATTCTATTGTTGTTAATACTGTATTAACATTATCTATCATTATTGATAGTATTATTTATTTTATTATTCATATTATTATGATCATTTTTTTGTATTGCATTACAGTTTAAACCGTAGTCGTAGACGTAGGCGTAGCGCGGTGTGATATCGTGACATTGTGACATCATATGACACAGTAGATGTACACCGTGCAAGAATAAAGCATGTACCATTTATGTTAACTCTACGTTGTCTACGCGTTTGATTCATTTCTACCTCCACCAGAACCGAAAATAGTAACGCACAGGGTGCAAGGCTACATCTTCTGCGACTTCAACCATGGCCGATGTAGGGCCAGACGATTCTGTTAGTTGTGTTAGCTCCCGGCGCTCATCAAGCAGTAAAGGCTAAAGCTAAGGAGGCTGCACTGAAGGCAAAGGCTAATCAATTAAAGGAACTCCATGATTTACAAATGCAGGAATTGATGATACAGCAAAAGAAGGCTGACATGGAACTACAAATGGAAATCAATGCTGCGGAAGCAGCGAGGCAAATATACGAAGAAGAAGGTTCAGAAACAAATCAGCAAATGCAAGATCTAAACCCTCCTCAACTAGTCGGAAACTCATATGAGACTCCACATCAGTCAGTTCCATATGCTATTGAAAGAGAACCAGAACTCACCAGCAGTAGCAATCCAATGTTTTGGCGGCTAGCCGAGAAACCACCAGCTCAAATATTTCAACCCTTCGACCTAGATGCTCCACAATGGAGAACGCAACCATCAATGCAGCAGAATGCAATGGAGCTATTAGCATCAAAGATGATGGAAGCTCAGGATCGACAAAGTAATGCTCTGCTAAAAACTGTACAGCAACAACAAAGTAGTGTGACAGCTCTCACACTACCAAACCCATCGATGAAGGTTTACAGTGGTAACCCAGTCGATTACTGTGAGTTTGTCACAGCATTCCGACATTTAGTCGAAAATAAAACGACTAATCAAAGTGCAAGATTGCATTATCTAATTCAATACACTTCGGGTACAGTTCAAGAACTGATGCGAAGTTGCTTATCTATGAGTGATGAAAGAGGGTATCTAGAAGCTCGACGTCTACTGCAAGAAAGGTATGGTCAACCACACAAGGTAGCTGCCGCCCATCTACAACGCCTGCTGGATTGGCCAATAATTAAACCTGAAGATGGCCCAGCACTGCAAAGATTTTCTACACAATTAACTAGCTGCACCAACACCCTAGAAGAAATTGGATATCTTGGGAAACTGGATAACCCAGAGAATCTTCGGAAAATTATTGAACGTCTTCCGTACCGACTAAGAGTGAAATGGCGAGAGATAGTGGATACCATAATCGAAAGGGAAAAGAGAGACGTTACAATAAAAGACATCACAAAGTTGGTCACAGATAAGGCGAGGTTGGCAACTCATCCAGTCTTTGGAAAATTAAGTGATCCAATACCAAAATCAACAACTAATGTCTCAAGGCCTAAACAACCGAGTCACAAACAAAGCCATAGTTATGCTATCCAAGGGCAATCCGATAATGAGAAACTTAAGTGTGTTTTACGTGGTGAAGAGCATTGGTTATCAAGATGCGAGGCTTTTAAACGAATGACGCTCAACGAAAGATGGAAAATTGTCAAGGAGAAAAAGATCTGCAACAACTGTTTAACCATTGGCCATTTTGTACGATTATGTCCAAAGGAAAGCTTTTGTAAAATAGATGGATGCAAGACCAAACATTCAACATTTCTGCACCCGAAAGAACAACAGGCAAACAGTGCTGGCATCATTGTCCATAAAGAACCCAAACATCAACCACATAAAGAGATCACAGATGTGAATAAAGTCAGCATGACGGCAACACGAAACACTTCAGCTGTTACTGGACTTGCTGCACTACCGGTACGAGTTAAGGCTGCAGGAAGTTCCAGAGTAGTAGAAACATATGCCTTTCTCGACAATGGGTCGAATACTACCTTCTGCACCAACAGTCTGCTAAAGCAACTTGGAGTAAAGACCGACAAGATAAACTTGTCATCAACAACAATCAATGGAGTCAATCGACCAGTCAAGTGTGAACTTGCAAGTTTGGAAATCTTCGACCTAGATCATCAAAATTCAGTGAAGTTACCAACTGTCTACTCAATACAATCTCTACCAATTTCAATGAATACAGTTGCTACTTCTGAAGATGTTAATCGATGGCCTCACTTGAATGGAATTGAAGTACAGAAAATCAATGCAGACATTGGTATTCTCATAGGAAGTGATGTGCCAGAATTGCTATAGCCAGTAGAAGTACGACAATGCCAGAACGGTGGCCCATATGCCACCCGGACTAAACTTGGTTGGGTTGTCAATGGCCCATTGGGTAGAAAGAATTCTGAACCGACATATTTTGCCAACTACATCGATTCCAACGAGCAACTGACAACACAGTATAAAACCTACTGTAATTTAGAATTCAATGACAGTTTATATGAACCAAACCCTGAAATGTCCCAAAACGACAAACGAGCATTGCAGATAATGGAAGAAAGTGTTGTAATCAAGAATGGCCACTATCAGATTGCACTGCCATGGAAGTCGTTCCGGCCAAAGTTACAAAACAACAAAGGACTGGCAGAACGCCGACTCCAAGCGCTGAAAATACGTCTTTAAAAAGAACCAATCGTACATAAGAAGTACCAGGCTTTTATGAGAGATTTGGTGATTAAGGGTTATGCCAAAAGTGTCGAACAGGAAGAATCAGCATCAGAAGCGTGGTATTTACCACACCACTCCGTGTTCCATCCGCAAAAACCCGATAATGTCAGGGTGGTGTTTGACTGTTCGTCCAAATATTGCGGCACATCTTTAAATGACCAACTGCTACAGGGGCCGGTCCTCGCGAACACGCTTGTGGGAGTACTAACACGGTTCCGGCGTGAAGAATTTGCCTTTATGGCAGATATAGAGTCCATGTTTTACCAGGTCCGAGTGAGAGCTGACGACTCTAATTATCTTAAGTACCTTTGGTGGCCAAACGGCGATACCAGAAAACAGCCTGAATAATACAAGATGTTGGTCTATTTATTCGGAGGTGCATCATCTCCTTGCTGCGCAAACTATGCGCTCAAACGTACTTCAGAAGATAACAAGCATGACTTCGATGCAGAAACTATCAAAACAGCGAAAGAAAGCTTCTATGTTGATGATTGTCTTCATTCTGTAAAGACAGAGTCAGAAGCAAAACGTCTGATAAAACAACTTCAAGAATTACTGTACAAAGGTGGATTACATTTGACAAAGTGGACGTCTAACTCAATGAACATCGTTGAATCAGTCCCGGAGGAAAAAAGGGCATCGTCAGTTAAGGACTTAGACTTGGACTTCGATGATAAAATGTTGACTGAGAGAGTTTGGGCGTAAGATGGAATTTGTGATCAGATACCTTTGGGTTTCGGATCATCGAAAAGGACCGCCCAACAACAAGACGTGGGATGCTATCCATAACCAGCTCTGTATATGATCCATTAGGATTTGTTAGTCCATGCATCTTACCCTAAAGATTTAACAGGTGCATTGTTTTGATTGATTTCTGGGCCCTTTGTTAAATATTAGAAAGTCAAAGTTATAACCCTGTCTCTTATACACATCTAGATGTGTATAAGAGACAGGATGTATGCTGTGCTATTGTAATGGCAAAATCTAGATCAGCTCCTCTAAAGTCAATTACTATACCAAGGATGGAATTATCAGCAGCTGTCGTATCCACACGATTGGACAGAATGATAAAACAAGAACTAATGATGCCTATCGACAGCTCCACGTATTGGACTGATAGCACATGCGTTCTACGCTATCTAGAAAATAAGGAAACAAGATTTCAAACCTTTGTAGCAAATCGAATTTCAACCATACTCGACCAAAGTGAAACAAGTCAATGGAGATTCGTTGACGGATCACTGAACCCAGCAGACGAGGCATCAAGAGGTATGACAGGTAGTGAACTTTTAAGTAATCGTCGATGGAAACAGGGGCCGGACTTTCTAATGAAATCCGAAAATGAATGGCCTCAGAGACCGATAGACCTGGGTCAAATACCAAACAATGACCCAGAAGTGAAGTCAAATTCCACGGTCTGTGCTAACAATGTCATTGCCCAAGACTCAATTTCAAAGGTTATAGATCATCACTCAAGTTGGAACTCATTGAGAAAAACCATTGCATGGCTTTTACGTTACAAGTCAAAGCTTAGAAAAGCAGTTCGAAGGAGCAAGAGCGGAATGCCTCTGCTGTCCGAGAAGACGGTCACTCCAATAACTGTACTGGAGATCAATGGTGCGGAATCCGCTATTGTAAAACACATACAGCAGCAATGCTTTGGAAACGATCAAGTCGCTTTGAGAAAAAAGACTAGCAGTATATACAAACTGGATCCTATTTTAGTGGAAGGAATTGTACGTGTAGGAGGGCGTTTTCATAACGCACCAATTGCCATTGACAAGAAACATCAAATCATTTTGCCAAAAAAATCACCATGTGGCGAAATTGATTATCCAGTATTACCATCATCTGTCTGGACACTCTGGTCTTGAATATACGCTATTGCTACTTAGACAGAAGTTTTGGACTGTGCAAGGACGAACTACAGTGCGAACAGTCTTGAATGAATGTTTCAGTTGTAGGAGACGGCAGTCACCTGTAGCAAAACAGAAAATGGCACAGCTTCCAGAAGACAGGGTAACACCATTAAAGCCACCATTTTCATTTGTTGGCGTTGATTGCTTTGGACCGTTTGAGGTTCGAAGAGGCAGATCGACCGTGAAAAGATATGGTGTCCTCTTTACATGTCTGACTGTACGAGCAGTGCACATCGAAGTTTCTAACTTCTTGGGATACAGAATTTTTCTTAAACGCCTTAAGGAGATTCATTGCTAGAAGAGGGCAACCGCAAGAGATGAGATCAGACAACGGAGGAAACTTTGTAAGGGGAGAGAAAGAGCTGAAAAAGGCTATAAATGATTGGAATCAATCCCAAATTCACGAATTTCTTTTTGCAAAGAAATATCAAATGGACATTCAAATCACCTATGGGATCACAACATGGTGGAGTGTGGGAACGGTGCATAAGAACCGTTCGGAAAGTAATGTTAGCTGTGTTAAAACAGCAAACACTTGATGATGAGGGTCTGAACACCCTAATGTGCGAGGTAGAGGCTATTGTTAATGGAAGGCCAATCACAAAAGTTTCTGACGATCCACACGATATAACACCATTAACACCTAACCATTTGTTGCTTCTACGAGGAGGAAATAACTTGCCACCTGGTAAGTTTACTAAAGAAGATGTATATAGTCGCCGACGATGGAGGCAGGTTCAGTACATGTCGGATACATTTTGAAGACGTTGGACTCGAGAATACTTGCCATCACTACAACAGAGACAAAAGTGGAACAAGCCACAGAGGAACTTTGTAGTAGACGATATTGTGTTAGTTCTCGACGAGAATACACCTCGGAATTCTTGGCCGTTGGGAAGAATTCTGGAAGTTTACACCAACCGTAGCGATGGACTTGTACGCTCAGTTAAGTTGAAGACTTAGGCTATGTTCACACACACGGCGTAAGGCTGGCTTAAGCATGGCGTAGCGTACGCCTTTGTGTGTGAACTAGGCAGTGGCGTTAAAGCCACTCACTACGCCACGTCCTTGGCGTTATTAACGCTACCTGCAGACCCCAGATTAGCTAACGCCAGTGATGCTTGGATGATTTTACCTCATTTCAAGAGATTGACCAATCACGATTGCAATATTAGCTTAGTCTCTTTCCTGTGCTTTCTATAAATGAAATGGTAAAGGGGTTCTTTTTCTATTGCATTTTACTTAGTTATAATGTATATGATTTGTTGATTGTGTTTTGTAAGATACTTTAACATATTTAGACTGTCTATTAAAACCTGCAACACCAACAATGCTAGCTGAAAAATCAAAGCAAAATTGTTCATTTAAAATACAATAATCATATAAGTTCACTTCGAACAATTCACAGATTTAAAAGTTTTACTGATGCACTGTTAATTTTACTACAGTTAAGAACCCATACATTATTTAAAACTTAAAACTATTCCCCCATAGGCCTATATTACTACTAGTTTAACGCTAGCGTTAATATAGCGAACGCCGTTTGTGTGAACACTTTGGAATTTTAATCCGTGAATTAGCTTACGCCTGGCGTAAGCTACGCCAGTCTTACGCCGTGTGTGTGAACATAGCCAAACACCTCAACGCTTGTGAGACCAATTGATAAACTTGTTCTTCTGGAGGATGCTACTAAATCGACAAGTAAATGGCTATGAACTTTGATTAACCTAACCGTGTATTTGAACTTTTATTATTATTATTATTTTTTTTTTGGTAACTTTTATGTCTTTAATTTTGATATTAGTTTGTAAATTATGTAAAGACTATCTTTACGATGCCTTTAAGGGGCCGGAATGTTAAATCAGATTATTTTGCTATATGTATTAACTGCCCCTGTTTGTAGAATAGGCCTGTGTTAAAGCATAGACCACAGATACTCTATGCAGACCACAAGTTTGTGGTGATTGTAATTCTAGATTACAGTTAGCTATCTTCCAACTATGCATTCAAGGTTTGCCATTCTCACTTAGCAACAGACTTTCTTATCTTGTTTTGGAATAGTCACCAAAACAGTGTATCAGTTCAGTTCATGGATTCAATGCAACAGGTTCTGGAGAAGAAACTGATGGTTTACATTACTCAGGTCAAACTGGTATCTTGCTCTAATGCCAGTAGGCGGTAATGTACTTTTGAGCTGTGTTCACGTAAAAATGACTATGATAATTGATTTAAATTTAGTAGAATATGGTAACATATTAAATACATATGGGACAGTAACCATTAAGGTTTTCTGTTCATTATTGATAGTATTATTTATTTTATTATTCATATTATTATGATCATTTATTTGTATTGCATTACAGTTTAAACCGTAGTCGTAGACGTAGGCGTAGCGCATCGACATTGTGACATCATATGACACAGTAGATGTACACCGTGCAAGAATAAAGCATGTACCATTTGTTAACTCTACGTTGTCTACGCGTTTGATTCATTTCTACCTCCACCAGAACCGAAAATAGTAACGCACATGGTGCAAGGTTACACAATATGTGTCCAAGCCATTTCCATCTACGAGACATGATTTCTGTACTTATTTTCTTCGAATTTGTTTTCTGTAGAATTACATTATTTTGTACAATGTACGGCCATCTAATTTTGAGGATTCTTCTTAAGCACTTGAACTGGAATGTGTCTAGTTTCAATTCGTCGCTTTGGTTTACTTTCCAGGTCTCACATCCGTATAGTAGAACTGATTTGACAAGTGTGTTAAATAACCTCAGTTTGGTAGGTAGGGTGTAAATGTGTGAACTCCATATTCTATTTAACTTCATGAATGGTATTCTGGCCTTATGGATTCTGTTAATGATATCATCTCCCCCTTCTCCTTGTTTACTAACAATAGCACCCAGGTAAGTATATTTATCGACTTCATTTAGTTGCTGTTTTCCCATTTGTATTCTATTATTACTGTTGTTATTTATCCTTAACACTTCTGATTTCTTCTTATTAATTTTGAGCCCAGTTTGTGCAGCAAATTGTGAGAGTTTTGTAGCTTTTGTTTGCAATTGCTGACAGTTTGGTGACACAAGTGCGATATCGTCTGCAAAGTCTAAGTCTTCGAGTTTTGATGTGAATCTCCATCTAATTCCAGTGTTGCTTTCTTCAGTTGTTCTCTTCATTATCCAGTCTATTATTATCAGGAAAATAAAACCAGACATTACATCTCCTTGCTTAACTCCAGTTTTGACTTTGAACCAGTCGGACTCTTCATTCCCATCCAGCACAGCACATTCAATGCCTTCGTATAAGATTTGAACCATATTTATTATCTTTCTTGGAATTCCATAAGCCTCCATTATTTTCCACATGCTATCACGGTGAACAGAGTCAAACGCTTTCTCGAAATCTATGAAGAGAATGTATAATGTTGCTTGCCATTCCACAACCTGTTCAATGATATTTCTAAGAATGAAAATTTGCTCCACCGTTCCTCTACCTCTCCTAAAACCTGCCTGTTCATCTCATCTTACAGCCGACCTTCTCTAATTCTATCTATAGTATCCTTCCAAATACTTTACTGGGAACCGATGTAAGAGTAATACCTCTCCAATTACCGCATTCTGTAAAGCTTCCTTTTTTAGGTATTTTGACAATCAGCCCCTGTTTCCATGCTTTTGGAACTTTTTCTTTCTCCCAAATATCTTTAAATATGCTGCATAACCATTCTTCTGTTATATTCATGTCAGCTTTCAATAACTCTACAGTAAT